GTGAAAGAGTTGTGACTCAACAACACATTGCAGCATGTTGGTCTCACAGATTAAGTTTAAATAAAAGATTTATTAAAATGTAGGTTTATGTAACTCTTCACAGTTTCAACTCTTAATAAGTAGAACCTTGTCAATGTGGACTGTCATGAACTTTCGACATGGAGGGCGAGTGGCTGAGTTGGTTTCACACTACAGAACAATACTTCAGTATTTTCCAGAGAGTCACATTCCCCGTGACTCAACAATCAGCAGATCCTAGCATGGCCAAGGGACATAACTCTTCATGGTGAATTGCTAGACCTCAGACCAATGACCTCTTGAGCCGGCTCAGCACATATACTTTGGTATTTCATTGGTGTCTTGTCAGGCTGTCGACCCATTTCAGAAATCTAGATTATTTTGAGTGAAAAGAAACTGTCCAGATTAACAAGGTTACTCTTTACCAGCATCAGGAACCTGTCATTTTTTTAATGGGGCCTTTGTCTCGCACAATTCTACTGAATAAATATAAACAAAACCAATTGCCTGATGGCATTCTGTCAAGGAGATACACTTTTCATCAGCCAATGCAAATATTCTAAAAGTTATTTGTGATCAGAAACAAATGAACAAGAATGTCATCAATGCATGATAATTTTGATGAAGTCAAATGACTTTTCCCTCTGACCCACCCCAAAATAACAAATAATTTTAACCAAGGAAATAATACTTTTTGTTCACTCACAAAGTTTCTTTCCTGAAATGCTTTCCCAATAAATGACAGGCCCCTCACTTCCTTGCTTTATTTCTCAAACTGTCTTGTTGACCAAGTATGGTATGTTGTCTACGTTATTCACTCCTCCAATCATCTCTTGAGCCATATTTAACCAATCACATAGGTACATTTCTCTGTAGTAGCCTCAGAAGCCATGGTGTGAATAACAACATGGTCGGATATTTGTTCCCAGGCATATCAAACATTATTCACAACAATCAACAAAGTAAACGGGACAGTAGTATCAATACAGTCTTGTATGTATACACTACGTTCCTCCATCAACCATGACTACATATGGCCGCTTCGCAAAGTGGCTGCTACTTCCACCAACAAATCAGTGTGTCCAACGACCAATGAGAGCTCAGCTTACATCACACACTTGACAATATTTTTCGTGCAACATGTGCCACAGACAAGCAGTGGTCTTCTCAACACGTTGCTTCAATATCAGGCAGCGATGGGTTAGGACGAACATCCCACACAGTGTTAGGCTCATCTGACTTCCATCAGCAGCCTTGAAATTCGTGCTAGTTCTCTAGGCCATGACTACCAAACTATGCTGAGGCCATGTAAAAATCCAGTGATGCTAGTTCTCATTGACCAGTATCGCCGGATCATAGGTTTTCGGACATCATACATTTTCGGACGGCCATGGTTATCGCATTTACAAGGGGTGTGGCGTCTCACAGACATTGTAAATACTCAGATGACCACCTGTTTTGAAGATAAACTCGTCTTTTATGAGTGACTGAGATGTTTTACAGTTGCTCTTGTGATAAACGAGAAAATTGGAAATGTTTCTTAAGAGTCCGAAAACCCATAATACGGGGATAGTAATAGGAGTGAGTGAGTGAGTATGGTTTTACGCCGCTTTTAGCAATATTCCAGCAATATCACGGCGGGGCACACCTGAAATGGGCTTCACACATTGGATAGTAATTGGAACTGAACAAAACTGAAAGAAAATGTAAACATAGTAAACAGTTTTGTCTCGATCAAGGAGGACTAGCTACAAACTCTGAGGACGAGTGAAATAAGGGTTACAGTGGACCCCAACCCCCACCCTGAATTTCTACAGCTGATATCGCCCTATTTCATCACTAAAATGAGACATGCGTCTCCACTACACCACATATGGACCGGAGGCTGGCGTGATGGAGGAACATTGTGTGTTTATACTTGTGAAGTACTGAAACTGTAAAGTAGAGCAAGGTGTGTTTATCCCAGCACTAGTGACATCCCCTTCACACAGCAATAATAACAAACGTAACTACGACGAACAGCGTTGATGTCTGACAGACACCAGGCTATAAGGACCTCGTCGTCACACACTCTCAAGACACATAACAATACATAACAATCGATAATTAACATCATAAAATATTTTCAAATGAAATCAACCAATCTATACAATCTTCAAAAAGTAACAAGTTAGCCCTAGGTTTGAATGCTGAAATTTCATATAATATCGTGTTCATGACAATTGTGCAAAAAAAAAATCAGTGGGGAAACCATTTAATAAAAATACTATATTCTTAAAATAAAGATATGTTTTGGTGATAAGTTGAACATGATCTCATCTATTTCGTTGCTAAGGAAACCGTTTCATACAAATTTGAAGGTTTCCATCAACAGATATCTTTCCATGGAAATTTCATTGATTTTCCCAATTAATATAATCAACTTCATCCAACATAAATTGCTACTCATAAAAGAGACCCCAAACTTCTTTGCTTTGTATAGAAAAATAAAAAGAATGCCTCATTCCACAAACCTATCTTAGCACGAAGTTCATCGTAACTCCAATTCCTTAAACTGACTAACAACAGTCATAGGTGCTAAGATTGCTTTGTGGGCCTGTTTCACGAAGTGATCTTAGTGCAACGACTGTCAGAAGTCAGAGAGTTACGATCATCTTAGCGCTAAGATTGCTTTGTGGAGCAGGCACAGGGCCCTGTTTCATGAGGTGATCATAGTGCAACGACTGTCAGAAGTCTGTGAGTTACAATCATCTTAGCGCAATGACTGTCAGAAGTCTGCGAGTTACGATCATCTTAGCGCTAAGATCGCTTTTAGAAACAGGGCCCTTGTGTTTAACAACGTTCATTTTGACTTGATGTGTTTGATGTGATGAGGTTAAGTACTGAGGAGATACCTACATCGGAAATGTACAAGGTGTGGGTGCGCCTACCCTACATGCTTGTGTGTTTAAAGCATAGCTGGGAGTTATGTACAAGCAATGTAAGGAAGAGAACTTCCATGATAGCCAGCTGCCTTCACATGTCAAAGTCAGCTGATTCTGGGACGATGCAGCAAAACCCTACCCAGTGCACCAAATTAAGCATGAAAATCAACAGCCCTTGTCACAGCTCGAGGTTAGAAAGAAATATCTAGTGGGTCCTTGGATTCAAATACATCAAAAAGCCCAGTGACCTCCTTAATTTCCAATCACTGCTATCTCAGTAATGCCTTGAGGGTTCCAAATGAACATTATCTTTGTTTAAGTGAAGTTTAAGATTGTCTTGTTTGATTTTTACTTCCGTCAAACCTCGTCATATCAATGAGTTTGATGATCTTAACAGGCTTAGTTCAATTTAATCACAGCATGTCAACTTGATGTGGGAAAATGTCACCGACTTTGATGAAATGAAATGTACCGAGTCTCTTGATTTTAAGAAAAAACAACAACTGAATTCTCAAATTTGTGAGTCAGACCCAACTAAAAAGTAACTGTATGCATATAATCTATCACCTTTATCACAAACTGATCTCAAATTACAAAGACGTCTTTCCATATTAAGAATGTGTGTGTATAAAAATTTATTATCCTTCAATTCTTCTGACAATTTTAAACCTAGTTTCCTGCAGAGAAGGCGGTGGGGTAGCCTTGTGGTTATAGTGTTCACTCAACCAGGATTCTATTCTGCACATGGATTTGTTTAAACACATAATTACTCGACTCTGTCAGGACAATGCTGGAATATTGTCCAAAAGTGATGTCACTATATCCAATCTAATAATGCCTATTATTCTGAATGTTTGCATTTCCAAAACTTAATGATCAGTTTTATCAATATGACGAGGATTGACAGTGCATCCCCATTTGGCACCAAACAAAACCCTATTTCTCAGTTTCTTCTACAACACAGTTCTACCTGATGCTACAATTGGAAGCCCTCATTAAAATGCATTAAGCAACATCATAACATTTTCAAACGAACTTCGAGTTCAACTGAAAGTTACTGAAATTACCTCAGGTTGAATCGGAAATTCAAAGAAAAGTACATGTTTAAATGTTTACGGAAAGTTAAGGAGTTTCCTGTATGTATGACAGGTTACATGAATATATCGACAGGAATCCTCAATACAAAAACAAAGCGAGGTGCATTTAATGATGCAAACCTTCTGCCCGATTGGTCCAGCAACAGCCGACACATCAACTCCTGCTTGTATTGACTGACTACCACGAAATATGACTAAGATTTGAAGAACTAAGAACTTACATGACTGGCACACTGTAAAGATTCAATGTTTATTATAAATCTATAAAATTATTTTACCTTAACATAGTGATAATTTTATCTATCATTTGACAAATGTCTAACATAATTTTCTTCCAACAGACCTGTATTGATAATACCCCGTCCGTTCTGACAGGGTAGGGTTCCACTGCAATCGATAGCCAGCTTACAAGTTTCCTGATACATTAATCAAGGAACTAGATGTGGGGAAAGCCGTACAACGATTATTGGCACTTCATGTTTGGTCCCCCGTGGGGATTCTGGGAAAGCATAGGTCCCGAGTACCCCATGCTTGTCGTAAAGCTAAACAGGGGATTGGGTGGTCACAAAGATTCCTGAATGGGTGATGCCGGGAATGACCAGTTCGTGAGTCGTAACCTAGGCCCTGTTCCACAAAACAGCCGCAGCGCTACGGCAGTCGCAAGTCTGTGTTTCAGTATGGATACTACACTCACTATATTAAAATCAGATCCCAGTTCTCGCTACCGCTAAACAAAGATCTGAAGACATCCCATTAGGGGTCACGTCAGAACGACCTTTCATCCAACCAATCAGTGTTGCTTACCAGATTATGAAAGTGACTGTCGGAATGTGATTTCTAATCATGTAATCTCGAAAACTTTAACATGGGGTATTCCGAACGATAGTTATGGGTTTAACGACTGAATCCTTACTTTCTAGACCATCTATTAGTCATTCCAGAATGTTTTTTTTGTTCAGGTTTCAAATTTGTAATCGAGAATTTGTCAAAACATGTTTCGAAGCGTAGTCGCCAATTTTGATCTTTGCTTAGCAGTAGCGAGAACTAAGGTCTGATTTTAATGAGATTGTTGGAACAACGTCCCTGACAGATCCACAAAGCGATCTCAGCACTACAAACTGTCACAATTCTATGTAAAACCATAGGATTTACGATCGCCTCAGCGCAAAGACTATTTTGTGAAATGACGCCCTGGTTGACTGGTCACTGTAATTGAAGTGTGATTTGTGACGAGCAGGTTGAATGACATAACAGGCCATTGTCGTACTGTTGTAATATTGCTGACTACGGCATAACACCCCATTCACTTATTCAACTAAAATACTTGCTTCATGTTCGTGAAATAAGATTGTGACAGGGAAAAGTTGTTTGTAACACAATGTTATTCTTATTTCTCAACGGAATCTGCCATGAAAGCCACTTATTCTGTCATCTAGGAGACTGGGAAAGTAGTATTGATGGCATCAGAGTAACCCTTAACTAAATGACTACAGCCTACTGAGGTTATTACCTTAGACCAGACCAATTTTCACCTTGCATACAAGTTTATGAACAATATTAAGTAATTTGGCATTGGATCAACATACAGTTCATCTACTTTATTGAGGCAAGTAATAATTTCCATAACTGATCATTCCATTTTCTAAAATTAAAAATTATATTTTTTTAATTTGGCAAAATAAAGGTCTTCATGACACAGTGAAATGAGCTGCTTATATTTGAATCAAATTGATCTGGTCTTAGATTAAATCCAGGCAGATAGACAAAAAAACTATTTTTGCTTTCTAAAAGTCATCGGAGTAGAAACTTTAAGAAACATTTGTGACCATTCAACCCACCAAAATAAGACTCGAATAAACTATGCACAGTTTCCTTACAAGAAACCGTGAAGCAAACACAAGCTTCTTAAATCAGAAGTATCAACAACTGGATGTAGATTGTAACACGTCAACAATACAGCTGTAAGGCAAAATACACCCAGCCTCCCACGATTGGCTCAACCCACAGGGTCAGGGGTCATACTTGGGTCACTTCACAACCATCCCACTCATTGTCCGATTCCGTATCCGAGAGATCGTCGTCACTGAAGCCCCCAAGGGACACACCCTCCGTGCTCCCCGATACGGAGGCAGTATCGCTGCCCCCCTCACCGCCCCCCATCCTGTGATTGTATAAAGCGTTATCTGGCGGCACGAGGAGGACTCGGTTGGGTATAGAGTGTTCGCTGAGGCTCAGCTTGTTTACGGAACTAGACAGCGTGCTGCTGCTGCTGCAATCCATGGCTTGTGGCTGAGGTACCCACAGTTTGTCCGAGGTCTGAGACCGAGGCTGTGTGTACTCGTCTCCTCGCTTGCATGTCTTGCAGATCATATTGTCAGCACTTTTACTGCGTTCCAGGTTAGGATTAGGTTCTGCCTCCTTCATGGGGGAGAAGAAAACTTTAACCTGAAAAAGTAAAGCATAGACACAATGGACCAGGTTGATCATTTCATTTGAAAATGGGAAAAGAGGTGCTTACACTTATACAAAAAAATATTTAAAAATGTCCATACTACCAGAGATTTATCCAGGATTCCAAATTAAGTGTCCTTGGCAGGCAATTTGGGAAAAACCAAATCTCATTTGTTCAAGTTGGTCAGTGAAATACAAGCCTAACATTAGTCATTACTATATATCGACTTTAAGAATATTCACTGACATCTGCTGCTGAGGTTTCCCGCTGACTTTGGGCCAAATATGGGTATTTGAGCAGGCCTTCATAAATCCCTGACACTACACTTTTAGATCTGCTTTGTAGTCTTCTGCTGCAGTCAGCACTATCCAATGTACTAAACTAGGGCGGTTACGATTAACTCGCATATTCCATGAATCGAACCGTATCCATTCATGAATTGAATTCGTTATTCGTGTCCACTAGAATCGAATATTTATGAATATTCAAACATGTGCACTTACATACCCTGTACCTAAAAATATCCATAAGAACATGTTATATGCCTAGATTTCTTCAAAGACAACACTCTTATAATAATTAATTTAACAGTATTGTGGTCACTGGTCATTGTCACATTTGAGCAGATACTAGTACCTGGATAAGTCCAGTGTATAAATGTATACTGTATTAATAATTAACAAACCATGTCAGATTATTAATGTTGTTAATGTTTCACTGAATATAAAAAATAATATATTCACTGCTGACTTTTTATTGTATTCGTGAATTAATATTCGTATTCGTTACCCTATTTTCGTGATACGAATCGTATTCGCCTCATATTGATTTGTTGCAGCCCTATACTACACCCTGTCAATAATCAAGCCTGGACGAGGAAAACCAGTGGCTGAAAGCATCTCCAACATCCCACATTCTCTGGGTACATTGACTCACACTCAGCCACAAAAGAGAGTCAAGAAGTGATTGATAACAACAGCATCGATCCACGCAATTGGGTTACGAAAACATGCATCAACCAAGTCAGCGAGCCTGGCCACCTGATCCCATTAGCCGCCTCTTATGACAAGCATAGTCACTTTTTACGGCAAGCATGGGTTGCTGAAGATCTTCACAGGTCGATTATGAGAACAACCAATGAACTACAAGGAATAATGAAGTATCTGCCCCGAGTGAATGAATGGTGTTTAGACCGAGCCTTTGGCCTCATAGACGTTATTCTATATATTACTCAATGACATTTTAAGAGAGAAAATGAAAAATAACGTATGAAAGAGAAAGACAAACTTCACTGAACGCGGACATTCAGATGACATAATGTAATAAATTTGTGATGTCATGGATGAGATTGTTTCATATTTCCCATAAAATGAAGCACTGTGACATCATTTGGCTTCAACTGACCAATCAGCATTGAGAATCAACAAAATGCACAGTTGCAAATATCGAAAACTTTTTACCACAATAATTCTACCCTTATGGGTGATATTTGAGATTCAGTACTTACTTTAAAATTAGGGCTGAAATTTCTATGTGACTTGTCTTTGTTAGCCCTGTCGAGTTCGTTCTTGGGCAGGGTGAGTGTGAGGTAGCCTTGGTTGTACTCCTCCTGTGTGTGGTCCCCCTCGTCCCCCCTCAACGACCCCCCACTCAGCCTCTGCTTTGCCCCGTTCTGCTGGTCGCAGTCCTCCCACTCCTTGATGAAGAAAGTGTTGAACCAGAAGTGGAACATCTTCTCCTGAAAATATCCGTTTACCACATAGAGTAATCTATGTTCATAACGAACACGCTTATAACAAACTGATGGATGTATAACAAACTGTTTTTTGTCCCGTCTATTTGTTGTATATATGTTGCAGATATGCTTATAACGAACTACGGTTATAATAAACTAAAATTAGTGATTCCTTTAAGTTCGTTATAACTGTAGTTTACTGTATTATGAAACAAAGGGGAATGTCTGCCTCAATCTGATTTGATAATCTTGGGCTTTTTACCGAGTAAGAATAGCTTACCTGATATGGGTAATTTGTCTCTTAGTTCGAAACTTGAAAGCCCCGCCGCTCTCCCCCCCCCCCCCCCCCCAAAAAAACCCCAACAATTTCTGTTCTGATAGAAATACAATCAACGTTTTGAAAGTCAGATTTTCTGAACTCAATAAGAAGGTTTTATGTGAAAACAAGAGTCATCAGGGGATGACATATTGCCCATTTTAGAGGAAATTAAAATCGGAGTTTGGCTACTTATACCCAATTTTGCTTCAATGCCATTGGATACCTTCAGTTCAGAGAAGAAAACACTAAAACTTTTCAATTTTTTTCAATATCCTAACTCATGAGCGGCACCAGTTGACCACTAGGCTGATCTCCATAGCAGGTTCCATCGTGAAGTATTTAAGGGTTTTGGAGTTCTGCTCCGTAAATATGCTCTACCCTCATTTTCAGTATAGGTTTAACTTGTCGTCGTGGAAAAAAATAAACAAATAAAATCCCTAATAATCAATAGGCACCAGTACACATAGCAAGTTTGAAAAAGATGTACTTAATAATTTTGGAGTTCTGCTCCGATAATGAAAAACAAACAAACTAAAACGAAAAAAAGTCTCAAAGCATCAAACGGTACCAGTTGCCCACTAGACTGAACCACACAGATTGTTTCAACAATAAATATTTAACGGTTTTGGAATTCTGCTCAGGAGGGGCATGGTGATCGCTATATCCCAACCTTTTTCAAACAAGGGAGATAAACAAGTAAACAAGGTAAGAAAAATGTAAATCAGAAAAAGAAAGTAAATACAATAAAGATGGAAAACAGTAACAGAATAACACGAGGAGTGCATACCTTCTTCCCATATCTTGTTCTATGAAAGAACTCGATCTTGATGTCCCCGCACAGCGGAACCGGCTGTGTTATCGGCATAAGAAAGTATTCATCTTTCTTCTTGAAGCCATCAAAGTTCTTGGATGAGAATACTTTCACTTTAAGCTGGTAGACTTCAAAGCAAACAGCTGTAGAATGTAAACATAAAAAACAGGTGAACAAGCTTGAAGTACATCACCGACATGTGCTAAGATAGTGAGTGAGTGAGTTGGATTTAACGCCGCTTTTAACATTATTCCAGTTATATCACGGCGTGTCAGCTTAATGTGGGAGGAAAGCCCGAAGTGATGCAGGTCTCAGACGTTTACCACTTTGGTGAAACCCACGAGCACGGGTATGGTGCTGACAAACCTAGAAACATAATCGGGGCGAACCGGGATTTGAACCCACAATCATAAGTTTCTGGCATGTCCAAGGGACGCAACTCTGCACAGGAAATCGTGGCGCCTTAGACGACTGGGCCACCTGTGCCCCCTGTGCTAAGATAGTAGAATGTCAGCAAGGATGATCCTTCACACAAAGCTCGTCTGTTATCAGACTTTTCAGTATTCAAACATTACACTCTTTCCTACTATGCTTCATTAACATGAAGTACCGTTCTCTCCATATTAAGCGCTCTGCTCCAATATGCCCCCGACCACCTTCAAGACAAAGCTGTAAGTAATCTTTATAAGTGCACCTGTATAAGAGATGTCCATATAAGAACATATTTCCTTTGCCACAGAAAAAACACAAGTATATAATTGCCCCAAAGAACCATAATTGAAAATCTTTTCTTTGTTGACTACCGCTTGATCTCTGAAAAGAGTTTAACTTATGTATGATTTTAATAAGTGCCCCTTCTGTCAAGTCTCTACACGATAATTTCGGTGAATACGGAACCACAGATTTAATCCTCTGGGCTCTTATTAGAATATTATTTGGGTGGAAAAAAATTTGAGTTGAAAGATAAATTTCATGGTTTATGCTGATGGCCTGAACTGTTTATATACCACAGATATATTTTTCCAGAATTTAATTGCCCATAATTAAGGGTGCATATAACACACGAGTGCATATTATACACAAATATATAAGTCACGTGTACATTGATCAATCGGAAGGGGTGCTAATTGGGATTGTTCACTTGCCAATATATTAGCAAATATCGCCGTGGGTGCTTATTAGAGTGGGGCGCTTATTACGTCGAATACGGTAAGTGAAACATTTCAATATCGAAAACATATTTCTTGTCACAGAACCTTCGTACTTACAAATTGATCCAACATTGACCATGGGCACTGTTTCAAACATGATCTGTTTGAGGAGCAGACTGACAGGCTTGTAGTCCAGCTCACTCCGCAACAGCTCCCCGTAGTACCGGACATACCTCCGCTGGCTTGGTATTGTCACACCCTGCACACACAGACAGTCACATATCACCCATAAGGGAAGAAACATCTACTTTCCAATATTTGTACATGTGTATTCCAGGAATTACCAATGCTGATTGGATGGCCTGAACTTCAATGTCACATTGCTTCATTGTTGAGAATAAAATGGTATGAACATTCTTGACAAATTGATAAAACTAAGTCGTCTGGGGCAAGGTGAAATGGAGGTTTAACATCGTGGTCAAGACTTTTGCACTTCTAGAGTGACGTGTGTGTGACTGCTTGTACTAGTCCACACTAATCCTGTCTCTCCGAGGCAAGAGAGTTAACCGACTATAAAAGTCCAGTTTCCACCCTTGCCGAACTAGGCTGGTATTATGGAGTTACATTTTGGCTGGACTAACGAGTCTATGCATAGTCCAATCAAAATCGTGCAACGAAATCGAAATACGGTTTGTAAAGTGTGGTGCAGATTTCGGTTGATTGCATGTGCACCGCCAGCTCGTTGTTTTCCAAGTCTTACCCTCATGTTTTTTATGAAGGTGCTCACGTGATTTGATGCACTTCGCGATGTAAGACCCGTTTTATCACAATATAGATCTTGATTATCAATCAGATCGTCATGACTGGGCACTGCCATTTTGTTTAAAACAAATGCAAGTGATACGAGAGGTGGAATCTGATCGGTCCATAGGAGAGGCTTAGAAGGGACAAAACTCAAAATAACCACTGTTGGATCGAGCGCAGGAATTCCAGCCTAGTTCGGCAAGGGTGGAAACTGGACTTTTTGACTTGGATGAGCCTAATATTTTCAGCAGCTTGAAAGGACGCAGTAGGGAGCAGTGAAGTCGGTATATGTTTGCTTTATGTACTCAAACAATAATTTTCACCATAATACTTGATCCACTTCAATGAGACACAAGAAAATCATGAGTGAGTGAGTGAGTGAGTGAGTTGGGTTTAACACCGCTTTTAACAGTATTCCAGTTATATCGCGGCGTGTTAGCTTGATGTGGGAGGAAAGCCTGAAGTGATGCAGGTCTCAGACGGTTACCACTTCGGTGAAACCCACGAGCACGGGTATGGTGCTGACAAACCTAGAAACATAATTGGAGCGAACCGGGATTTGAACCCACAATCATAGGTTTCTGGCGTGCCCAAGGGACGCAACTCTGCACAGCAAATCACGGTGCCTTAGACGACTGGGCCACCCGTGCCCCCTAGAAAATCATGAAGGCAGATATCCTGTATCATTATTCCAACAGAAATAGAAACAAATTTTGAAATCTTTTGTTCTGAGGTTTGTTTGTTTGTTTGTTCTTTGACGCCGCGTTCAGCAATATTCCAGCTATCTGACAGTAGTTTGTAAATAACCGAGTCTGGACCAGACAATCCAGTGCTTGACTTCATGAGCATCAATCCATGCAGTTGGGATACGATGACATGCTTCAACCAAGTCAGCGAGCCTGACCACCCGATCCTGTTAGTCGCCTCTTACAACAAGCATAGTCGCTTTTTACAGCAAGCATGGGTTGCTATGGACTTGTTCTAAGGTACATGACGTCATAATGTTTACAGATGGGAAGTCTAAGCATTGTGATCTGGTAGACATGACGTAACAGTACGCGATAGATTTGTGCAAAAGTCAAGCTGTGATGATATTACTGAAATTTAAAATACACTCTATAGGTATTTGTTCAAGTTTTGTCTTAAAATAAATTTAATCAAGAAACCCTACCCTCACATGAACCTGAGTCAAATGTGTTGTCATGGAAACCAGGAAAACATTAACAATTTTGAAATTCCTAAATAGCATGATGCACCAGTTCATGGCTAGGCTGACATCTGGGCAAAGGCTGATCAAGAATTATTGAACCATTTCAGAGTTATGCTCTGGAAACAAATTTAGATGGGCAGACCACACCAATTCCTTAACCCCCATCCCACTTCATGGCATAATAAGCTATTTTCCCAGTGTGATAAAATATAAGTTTTGTTGTCTCTTACATCAAATACTGACACTTAATTTAGGTCCAAAACAAATAAGCAATCCAAACCTTGTGGACACAAATGGCCTCAAACCATAAAAAGCAGATGGAACTGTTTGTTCCCACTAACACCTAAACATCCACATCATCAACATTTTGACAACTCTGCAATCCCATTATTACATGAAGTACTTTTTTCTTACAAAAACATCAATTTATTTTTAAAGAAATCAATAATAAAAGAGGGTTGCTTCCATTGTCCTTGGCTGTACGAACCTTATAATCTCTGGTCCTTGTTTTCCCATAGTATTTGAGAGCCTCGTCTGCGTCTTGGAACCTCTTCCTGTGCAGCATGTAGGCACAGATCATCACTCCAGTCCGACCCTGGACACCAGAAACAAACATTGCAGATCAGGGCCAAGCAGTCAGCTTTGAACAACATACGACAGGTGATTGACATGAACCTCACATAGAAAGACTTGACCAAAATACATTAGAATGATTCATTTTTCAATTTAATCCCCCTCCCCTTTGGTTTACACTTTTGCCAGCGATGTTGAAAGGATTTTATCCTCGTTTCGTAGAAGTCCTTCTGATGGCTGTCGAAGAAGGTCTCCACTGCTGCTATGATGTCACCCTTCCAGTCGAAATGAGTTCCGGCTGGAGCCTTCTTCATGTATGGGAACAGATGAAAGTCTGACAGAGCCAGATAAGGCTAAAACAAATAATAGTCTTGGTTCTCAAGCACGGCCCGCATCATCATAAAGTCTTCCGCATGTTTCGTTTTTATTTCCATTTAAAAAAAATTCAAAAATTCTAATACTTAAAAACAATGTGGTCCAATATAGCACACAGTTATACTGCTTTATGTGCATCTTGTGTTATGGTCACGGCCGCAATAGGAGTTTGTAGTTTTGTTTATGTAGGGAGGCCCTTTCCCAGGATTCGAACCCACAGTCATAGGTTTCTGGCATGTCCACGGGACGCAACTCTGCACAGCGAATCGCGGTGCCTTAGACGACTGAGCCACCCGTGCCCCCTTGTCATGATGGAAGAGCCCCCCACCTTTTCTCAGCTTTCCATGGCCCACAGTCTTAATTTCACACTGCTATTGCATCAAAATATACTCTATTTAGTGGCCCTTTGGAAGATTGCCCATCATGATGAAACCCTCTGCACCCAGAACATAGGAAGGCCACAACTTTTTCCAACTGATGTGACAGTCTTTGCCTTCTTTGGTGGTGATGTCAAATGCTGCCACTGCTCTAATTGTTGTTTGGACCTGTTGCAAGAACCTTTCTGGATCAGCTTCAAGCATACCTGGTGTGCCTGCTGCAATGTCAGAAGCTTTGAAAACCAACAAGCTGATACTTATTTCATTGCCAAAGTTTCTGTGATAATCAAATGTCATTCTCCGGTCTGTCATCACTGTATCGTGTATTCTCTGGATCATTTCAGGTGTCGCTGACATCGTTCTCCCTGCCACTCTTAAACCCTGCTCCTGACATCTTTATGGTGGCATGGGAAGGAGGCATCTTTGCCTGAGTTGTACTCATATCTTCATGGATGGTGTTTGATGCTAAGCCCTTTTCCCGCAAGTACTTGATCACTGCATGCTTTCAGGTTTGTCCATTTTCCAAAGGTGACAGACCCCTGCTTGTTTTGTTGCCTTGTCATAGTGAAACACGTCTCTCCACTGACTCAAGATTTTGTGGGAATACCTCAATGACATCATCACACTCCGTCGCAGTGGTGACTCAGCATAACACCACTGCCACAGGCTAATTTGCATATCACGTGACCGGACTTTTCTCTTGTTTGTAAACAAACGCGCTTTTTCAGAAATCAGTATAGAACGGACTAATGTAAGTATTTGGGGGCGCTTTACATATTGTTTTGCATAACTATATAGATATGCTACTACAACTGCGACAGTGAGTTGCATGACAATATATATTTATGCATCAAAGTGACCGTGTCGCTAGCTCTCCATTGCGCTTCGATGACAGCACGTGGAGCCGTACAACCAATGTAAACATAGGATAACTACGCAAAAACAAGTAGATTTTTACGTATTTGCATACTTTCTCAATGAAAGTTAACCATTCTTTGACATTTGTTTATGAAAATGTGTAGACTTGTCAAACATGAAACGGATGAAAAGCATATGCAATTTCTTGAATGGACTGTGAAAGATGTGACGAATCGTCACATGGCGCTGGCCTGTGGCAGAGGTACTATGCTGGCTGGCTGCCGGCCGCATGGAACTCTGGGTAGGAGAGTGTGACATCATGTGATGTCCACAACAAAAGATTTTACTATTAGACAATACCTTCTAGGTGAGGATGAGAATGTATCAGACAACCCTTGTTCTTCATTAAATGTGGAATAGTGTTTCTATTTGCATTAGGAGATGAATCCTGGCCTTGAAATCTTGAAATATCTCCCCAAGGCAGTCAGGAAACTTAAAACTACTATATTCACCTACATCGCCCGCTTCATAGAAGAACAGCTACCATATTTACCTGTAGTTGCAGCAATTAAGTAGATACAACAGCTATATTCCCTACCTTGCCAGCTTTACAGTGAATAGCTGCTATATTCTCCGTGTCCTGCAACAGCCATTGGTCCAGATCAATACAGAATGGCTTAATCAGCTCCAGACGGGGCGGATTGTGATCATCAAATGGGAACCTGGCGACACGCTGGTGGAACTTGGAGGTATCATAGTCTCTCTCACAGCACCTGCAAATATTGGAGAGGCTTTACAAGAGTGGCAGCAATGGTCTACCTCCTGAGTGAGTGAGTGAGTGAGTGAGTGAATGTTGCTTTACATCATCATCTTGATTTATGTTAAACAAAAGTCATAACTTGACTGAATAGTCTGCACTGAAACAGGTTATAGAAAACTAAAGCAACCACACTCCCAAGTTACTAAATCATCACCATCACCATCATCATCATCATCATCATCATCATGTCCTGATCATCATCATCATCATGTCCTGATTATATGTTATACAAAAGTTATAGCTTGACTGCATAGTGAGGTGAAATGGGCAGACGCTCTACCACTAGACAACGGAGGCGGTCTTGACTGAATAGTCTGCACTGAAACGGGTTATAGAAATCTAAAGCAACCACACTCCCAAGTTCATGAAACTCCCCACTATACACTATCTAGACTGACATATAGGCCCCAAAATAAAGTTATGTATATTGTTAAGTAAATAAAATTATTCCATAATGGAAGCCTGGATTATTAAGGAACTCTAAAATGAGTTGGTGATGAGAACAGGCTGGCTGCGAGAGTTGAGAAAGGAATTGTTTTATTAAATATATGTTCTGGTTGTTATGACAAACTTTCCAACTTCCTACTGTACAGTTTCCACAGTGGCAACACAAGTAACACCTTACGGCACGGTGACTTTGTAAAATCATGTCAATGTTTCTTGAAGGTATGGATCATTGTTAATAATATCAATCACTGGTTTGTCTGGTTCAGACTTAATTAATTACATCATATAGCTGGAATATTGTTGAGTCTGGCATTAAACAACAAGCAAACCCTAAAAGCCTCTCACAAGATCCCAAGAAAAATGCTTTATGGGTAGGTCAACATATGACCAACTTACAGTCTGGTGTTTCAGGGCTGCAAGCACCTGCTCCAACAAGCCATTCAGAGGCTGAAACACTACCTGCTTCAGATACTCAGTCACACTGAGATTAACTCATGGAAACAGTTCCTATAAATGAGTGTGTGAGTGAGTGAGTTGGGTTTAACACCGCTTTTAACAGAATTCCAGTTATATCGTGGCGTGTCAGCTTAACGTGGGAGAAAAGCCCGAAGTGATGCAGGTCTCAGACATTTACCACTTCTTGGATGAGAATACTTTCACTTTAAGCCGGTAGACTTCAAAGCAAACAGCTGTAGAATGTAAACATAGAAAACAGGTGAACAAGCTTGAAGTACATCACCGACATGTGCTAAGATAGTGAGTGAGTGAGTTGTGTTTAACGCCGCTTTTAACAGTATTCCAGTTATATCACGGCGTGTCAGCTTAATGTGGGAGGAAAGCCCGAAGTGATGCAGGTCTCAGATGTTTACCACTTCGGTGAAACCCACGAGCACAGGTATGGTGCTGACAAACCTAGAAACATAATCGGGGCGAACCGGGATTCGAACCCACAATCATAGGTTTCTTGCGTGCCCAAGGGACGTAACTCTGCACAGCGAATCGCGGCGCCTTAGACGACTGGGCCACCTGTGCCCCCTGCTATAAATGAAGTATCTTTCTTTACCGTATACAGGTATAGCTAGAAATATATGGCTCTGTTGTGACATGACAGATCAAGTACAGTAATATGAAAGAAATGGACGGTCCACTTTCATTGAGTAGTACATGTGCCCAACTAGAGTTGCCCAATTAGAATGAGGCTGTTCCTGCATCACTAACTGCAAACAATAAACACACATATATATATACAAATATCTGCAAAAATATCACTGCATCTCTCTTCTACACACAGCCCACAACAGGTACAATACTTATAATTGAAAGGGACCCGTGAAGATCAGGGGTAGAATAGGTCTTCCGCAACCCATGCTTGCCGTAGAAGGCAACTTGACCCGTGTAGATCCGCGGTAGAATAGGTCTTCTGCAACCCATGCTTGCCGTAAAAGGCGCCAGACCCGTGAAGATCCGCGGTAGAATAGGTCTTCCGCAACCCATGCTTGCCGTAAAAGGCGACTAGACCCGTGAAGATCAGGGGTAGAATAGGTCTTCCGCAACCCATGCTTGCCGTAGAAGGCAACTTGACCCGTGAAGATCCGGGGTAGAATAGGTCTTCAGCAACCCATGGTTGCCGTAAAAGGTGACTATGCTTGTTTGTATAATCACTGACTTGGTTGATGCATGTCATCATATCCAAATGGCGTGGATCGATGCTCATGGTGTCAATCACTGGACTGTCTGGTCCAGACACGATTATTTACAAACCGCTGTCATACTATATAACTGGAATGCATTTTCAGTCTGACTTTGGATGTCACTATGCACTCATGCATTTGACTTTTAAACAGAAAGCACCATTAAGATATATTTGCTGAGACAACCATGTTGTGTCTCAAAGGAGAAATAGGAGATAGGTGGGTAGTATGAAAGTGATTTTAATGTGAGTTTTAAGCTAAAAAAGCTCATTTTCCATCTAAAACACAGTAACAAAATATTTTTCTAGTTTTTCAAGAATGAAAGCTATTTTCATATTTTCCATAAAATAAGTAAGAAATGTGTCTGGCCTAATATTGAGTTTGCATTTGTAAGAGAAATATGTGGATGAAACCACCAAATATTGAAATCAGCAATAGAAAGTAACATTTTTAGTCCACTAGTCCTCATTATAACATGAAGCAAGACCCTAATAAAAGGCAAAGTTCTACTAGTCCTTATGATACCTTTACTATCGAGCAGATTGGCACAGACTATAGGTGTAGTGTCAATTTCTATTGCTGGAAATAATACTACAGAAAAAAGGAGCATGTGTATTTGCGTAAAATACGCAAATCACTATTACCCAATTTTGAATTGCCTGCCTACAAAAATGTGAGATGAATTTCCAAAACCCAAGAGTATTAAAACACTGTAATTACCCAGTGTATCCTGTATAATGTACATGGATTTCCTTACCATCTTTATTTAAGAAATAAATGACGTGTGGGAATTATCTAACGCAGCCCCGAGTGGTCTATTCTCCCTGCAGTGTTTTATTGTATGATAAACCTAACCTCAAGTCGTTTATTACGTATACAAGATATCAACATTTTGTACAGCCTTCTTAGGATGTCAATAAACTGTACAAGCTTTAAAAACATTTACTCGTATTTAAATAATGATGACTCCACGAATATAATCCAACCTCGGCAATGTCGGACGACTCCATTTATGTACAAGGGGGATAATTTTGGTCTTCTCACATCGATTATCTGTATCTTTTCTCCCAATACTGATTGTCATATCTCTCCCGCTTCTGGATGGGATCGTTCGGCCATCACATTTATCTGCGTTACCTAGCTACATTTATGAGGAACAACTCACTAGACACTTCCCTCTCAAAATTTATGAAGTCATCAAGTTACGAGCGTATGTTAGAATTCAAGAAATGATGTCATGATAGAACATTGTTTTATCGAAAAAAAAAATATGCTTTGTTCTTCATTGTTCTTAGCGATTTATCATATAGCTATCTTATATTCACTCATCAAGTGCAGATAGCACACACATATGAACTCTAATGCAACAAAAAATACACAAGAAAGGTGTTGCGACTTGCTTACTGATAACTAGACGTGGGCGTCACCGCTCTTCAGAGATATCTCTTGAGATATGTAAGACACTTGGGGCAGCACACAAACAGAAAGAAATATATGTCTATTCATTGGGGTAAAAATACCCACAAGACTCAACCGAAGGGAGAAAAGAAATATTGAATACTAGGGCTGGGACGGGTAACTAGGTACTCGGGTCGGGTGGGTACTGAGTAAGACAGGGTTACCAATAGACCTACCCGGACATGTGGGCACTCCATCTTTACCTACAAGTCGCTAATGTAACTCAGGTACTTGGGTCGGGTGGGTACTGAGTAGGACATGGTTACCAATAGACCTACCCGGACACGTGGGCACTCCATCTTTACCTACAAGTCGCTAATGTAACTCAGGTACTCGGGTCGGGTGGGTACTGAGTAGGACATGGTTACCAATAGACCTACCCGGACACGTGGGTACTCCATCTTTACCTACAAGTCGCTAATGTAACTCAGGTACTCGGGTCGGGTGGGTACTGAGTAGGACATGGTTACCAATAGACCTACCCGGACACGTGGGTACTCCATCTTTACCTACAAGTCGCTAATGTAACTCAGGTACTCGGGTCGGGTGGGTACTGAGTAGGACATGGTTACCAATAGACCTACCCGGACACGAGGGGCACTCCATCTTTACCTACAAGTCGCTAATGTAACTCAGGTACTCGGGTCAGGTGGGTACTGAGTAGGACATGGTTACCAATAGACCTACCCGGACACGTGGGTACTCCATCTTTACCTACAAGTCGCTAATGTAACTCAGGTACTTGGGTCGGGTGGGTACTGAGTAGGACATGGTTACCAATAGACCTACCCGGACACGTGGGTACTCCATCTTTACCTACAAGTCGCTAATGTAACTCAGGTACTTGGGTCGGGTGGGTACTGAGTAGGACATGGTTACCAATAGACCTACCCGGACAGGTGGGTACTCCATCTTTACCTACAAGTCGCTAATGTAACTCAGGTACTTGGATCGGGTGGGTACTGAGTAGGACATGGTTACCAATAGACCTACCCGGACACGTGGGTACTCCATCTTTACCTACAAGTCGCTAATGTAACTCAGGTACTCGGGTCGGGTGGGTACTGAGTCGGACATGGTTACCAATAGACCTACCCGGACACGTGGGTACTCCATCTTTACCTACAAGTCGCTAATGTAACTCAGGTACTCGGGTCGGGTGGGTACTGAGTAAGACATGGTTACCAATAGACCTACACGGACACGTGGGTACTCCATCTTTACCTACAAGTCGCTAATGTAACTCAGGTACTCGGGTCGGGTGGGTACTGAGTAGGACAGGGTTACCAATAGACCTACCCGGACACGTGGGTACTCCATCTTTACCTACAAGTCGCTAATGTAACTCAGGTACTCG